GAGTGGAAGAAGATAATTGCATCATTCTGAAAATCAGGAATAAATACTAGTTAAAGCTGAAGGCCACTGCCTCAAAGCAAGCTGAACTAGTCTGCTGACACTTGGGCTCTCTGGCTGCAACTATCTTTTAAATGTAAATTGAGCATTTCTTATCAAAGCAGCCAGGATATAAGTATGCATCTGCTGGGGGAGAAGACCGTCACAGAGTTGTGGGGAGGGGCATAGGTGTATTTTCTTGCCTTCCTCCTTGGTTTCTTTATGCTAATACAACATCAGAATGTCTTAGCTATTTAAAATATACTCATAAGTATCTAATAAATAATGATAATCCTCAGGATGTGGGGTTGGGCACTTCCATAGCAAGCGTTCATTGGTTCAAAAATGTAAAATCGGGCCTCCCTGGTGGTGCAGGGGTTAAGCCAGGTTCTATCCCAGTCTAGGGAGCTGACCCACAGGATACAGACCTCCCCTGTCTTGCCCACTGCTCCCCAAAGCAGTGTATTTAGTTCTGCTCCCCACGCTGTCCCTAGTAAATCCTCTCACCACTCCCACCCCCATCCCACTTCTGGCCTACACCCCAGCTTTTGTATGCATAACTAAATAAATCTATAAAAATAATAACAAATAAGCGATTCCCTCAACTTGCTCCATTTTTCCACTTTGTCAACTGCCTTGACTGTGACTATGTTCACGAAAATTCAAGTTCTGTTATATTTGATATATTTTCCTCTGATAGTGTTGAGAATCTTTCAGATTCCCCAATATTGTCAGAACCAGCAAAATCATCTGTGGACAGCCTGGCCCATAGCCACTTTATTTAGTGCATGACTTTAAACAAGACATAATGGCTTTCTTTGTTCACTTCCTCATCTATAACTTAAGGATTTCGAACTGAAGGACATCCTATGACCCCTTCTAATATATAAAATCCTGATTCCTTGACTTTTTCTCTAGGAGTTTTCTTAAATGTGTTATCAATTTAAGTCATGAAGACTCCTTATCCTCACAAAAGCAGAATTGGATAGGACTCTTTGCATAACAGTTAATAAGCAATTTTAACTACAGATCCACATTTGGGCCTTTAAAAAAATGTGCCAGTGAATGAATACAGCACAGTATTCTTGCTTTTTTGTACATAAGGAAATTAATGTGCAGAGCCGTTCATTCAGTTGTATTTAGGCCTTGTAGTTAATTGATAGGCAAATGAATTTTTATTTTTTTGACTGAGACAACTGTATATTTAATATAACCTGACATAAAGATCAGTCTTTTGAGAGCAGTGAATTCTTTTGTAAATGTTTTGAGTTTTTTTTTTTTCTTCTTATGTATACAGAACTGGAGTACAGGCCAGAGGTGCAAGGGTGGTGAGAGGGATTCTCTAGACACAGAATGGGGAGCAGAACAGGCTGACTGATGAAGTACACTGCTGAGGGGAGCAGCAGACCCGTCAGGAGAGGTTGGCCTTGCCATGTGGATCACCTCTGAGGCAGGGATCGAACTCATGCTGAAGTGGCTTTAGCTTCTTAGTGTTGTGCTTTAACCTGCTGCGCCAGCAGGGAAGGCCCTGTTTTGAGGTTTTTTATTCCCCTTTCTAGGAAATTCCCAAATCATAAAGCACTAGTCAGGTTTAGAGAGGAGGACCAGGACACAAAAGAGGCCTCCTATGCTTCCAGACTGGTGGTTGAGAAAGTACTTCCTTACGGAGGAAGAGCCCTTGGATTACTTGATATATGGCCCCCAGGCCAGTCCCACCCAAGCATAAACAGTGACGCACAAGCAGTATGTTCAGAGATAAAAACAAGTATATTATAGTTAATATCCAAGTATACTATTTGTGGAAACCAAAATTAAAGAAAAAAATTAACCTTCTGTCTTAGCCATATCAGCAAATCATACCTTTTAATATTTCCCTGTCGTGTCTGCCGGCTCTTGTCTTTATATGTATATGATTTTTTTTTTCCTGGTTGTATTCAGTGTCTATGTGTAAAGTATTAGAAACCCAAATTTTCATAAGAGGAAGTCTCAATTTTAATAAGTGTCTTTAGATTCTTTTCTTAGTCTCTAGTGAGTTAATTTTGTTTACTTGTTTGCTCTTGAATTCATACACTCATCATCAGAAGCACTAAAAGCATACAACCTGCTTTTAAGGAGTTTTTTTTTTTTCTTTATTTGCTTTCAAATAACAAATGGAATTATTTTCATATGCTCTATCAGGATGTCTGAAAACAAATACATGTGTGGGGAAATCTCTTAAAAATCTCTATTCATTTGAGTGGTTGAGGGACATTTCTATCTGGAGGTAGGAGGCTGGAGGCTTAAATGATGACCTATATATACATTTGTTTCCAGCTTTTGGATTCCATGATCCAATGAGAATTCCTGGGAGGTGCAGGCTTCCTGGTAAGTGTTGAGTAAGAAGCATGCACAATTACTTTATGAGTCTTGATTAAGTTGGAGTTTCAAGTTGAGCACTAGAAGGGGTTTTAGGTGGGTGGTAAGATTGCTTGTTTTCCTGGTTACTGATGTGTGGGGGCTTTATATCCTGTGCTGTCCAGTGGTAACTGAAGCCATTGTTGCCATGGAAAAAACGGACAATTTGAGGGAGATAATTCAGAGTGGCCCATGGAAACGTGACTGGGCAGTCTTGTAATGGTACCAGACTTTGCAGGTGTGGTATTCATGTATTTGACTAGCACAACTTTTTGCGTTTTCTCTGGCAAATAAGAACGAAAAATAAGAAATCGTAATATGATGGCTTAATCTTAAAACATTAATCTTAATAAAAATGCCAGTAAGAAAGAATTCAGAATATTACTGCATAATTCTAAAAATAGAATTATTTGAATCGCATTTATATTATAGTTTATAGGGAAAGTACAGGAATTCCAGAACTTTTAATCCCATTTCCAGAAAAAAAAATCAAACTTTCTATGTAAACTAAGCTGACACCAAAAAGTTCTCAATCCAGGCTAATTCCGTAGTATAGGAATTATTCCCAGTGATTGCTCACATCTCAAGCTTGTTATACGTTGCTTTTACCTGTCACGAAGTCCTTGTATCACTTTTATAAAACCACACCACTTTTATAAAAAGAGACCGGAAGAATCTAAAATTGTGAGATTGCAGCGCCTGAGCAGAAAACTCCTAGTTTGGGATTTTCTAACAGGCGTGCCTAGACCGACCTCTGCTCCTAGCAGGTAACATGCCAGAGGGCGAAGCCAGTGTCAGCCTTAAGGAAAAACCTGTTGCGGGGTTTCTTTTTTCCCTTTAAACAGATCACTTTTTAGGAGGAGTTCTGTTGCATTCTCCAGTCCAAAGTCCTTGTCACCAGATTACCATCTTTTCACCCATTTTCCAGCACCCCGTTTGCCAAAACCTCATTGGGAAGAACTTCCTCTCGTGACCCCCCCCATTCCATTCCAATCGCGCTTAGCGACCCCCATCGCCGACCAGCTTCCCCTCCTCAGCCCAGGATCCAGGTCTCAAAACACTTGAGAGAAAATTCACACCCCTCGCCCCCTTCCCGGCGTCCCGAGGCGGCGCTGGAGTGGAGGTGTGGGGGGAGGTTTCCCGGGGTCCCCTGTGTCCTCCTCGCGCCCCCCCTCCGAGGTGTGCGGGGGGGAGGGGAGCGCGGGTGGGTGGGACCGGCCCTGG